CGCTTCAATTTTTTTTTTTTTAAAGAAAAAAAAAGACCAAGACACTTTTATCCTCTCATAATAGCGTACGTTCGTAAAACTGCACGACTGACGTTATTGCGCTGTTGCGCTTTTCAGAGATCCCGGGCAGATGGAGGAGGCACTGTCCGCACGGGCCGATGATGTCGGGCGCTGGCTGCAACTTGGTCGGCGAGGGAGTCGTCGCGGCCGAGACCGGAAACGCGGCGGCCGCTGGCAAATGCGTTTGCGGTCCGTCGGTGCCCTGGTGCCCGGGTGAGCCGCGGCCCTACATGTACACGACGCGGCACGAGTGCCGGCTCAATTTGGAGGCGAAAATTGCTTACGGTAGGACGCATTCGTTCCATATGTGAGCGCACCGTGATATACGGCGGCGCGATTCGCGTCTGCTCTGCTGCGGCGGCACGATAATGCGCGTCAAAGTGCACTAATGGCGAAATTAATTTCACGCTCGATTCGTCAAATGGCGCGAGTTACACCCGTCTGTCGTTAGGGGAATCGGAACGTAATACGGCGTAGCGCGGGACTATCAATTTTAATTATCTCCACGTGTTCGTCGGAGAACCGGCGCGGGAAACTTGTGTGTAATCGATGAAAGTTTAGTACGCGTTTGTTCGCGCCTGATACGTGTAACAATTTGTTCCGATTCGTTGCGTCTCTTTGAAGACGTTGCGATCGATGATTGATGATTCTATTATAATGGAATAATCGTGCGAATAGAGGAAATTTGATGGTACGGCTTATGTTACATTTACGTCTTTGTCACGATGACAGAGAGTTGTACATCTTTCGTATCTTTTTATATTTTGGAAAAAGTTAATTTTTTACTTTGCGCTTCTACAGATGAAAGAAAGACTTACGCTTTAATGTTTTTCTACTTATCTACTTATTGATAGAAGGATGATTTGTAATTATGTTTGGCAGTTTTTATTATGCTCTCTAGTATCCGCGTCTGATCTGATATAAATTCCCGACTGTATCGATTCTCCTGATGAATGGACAGTATTCATGATGTATTATCGATGAGTTCGCGAATTGATCGCGAAAATCGCTTTAGCATAAATCGTTTCTGAGTTATTGCAAACGTCAATGTTTATTTGCCATTACGTTTTTGCTCTCTTTTGAGCGGCCACGCCCACAAAGTTTCTGTTTGCTCTATTTGCTCTATTGTTTATCTAGCGCGCGCGTGCTAACATGTTACGATAAGAATTGCTGACGTGATAGAGAACGGGATCAATCTCGCAAGAAGGAATAACGTCGCTTCCGAATGGAGATAGAGATCGTCCGCGTTGCGCCGCACGAATGCCTTATGCTCCACGAAATATTGCGTACTTGTAAGAAACCAATAAAATTTTTGGGTCATGAACGTCATCACGAAAACCATAAACATTTATTAAACCCGTTAACAATAGGCAAGGCCGTTAGTGTAAGGCCTTTAAACTTAATTGCTATTGCTTTTTAAAACATTGCGCGCACTTTATCGGACGCGTAGCAATTTCAACGATGCGACTCGTTAATTACGCAAACAATTACGGCCGACTGTTTGTTTTATCGTCGTTAATCCTTTTAGCGCGGACCACCCCCCCCTTACTCGCCGGAGGGAGAGGGAGCCTTGTGTTCCTTCCTTTATTTTTTTTAACGAGTTATTTCTGACATGACCGTTTCATTTTTTTTTCTACGAGTGTTTAAGTGGAACTCGAGTTTTCGGATGGCCCTGAGAGAACTTCGGAACTGAACTTGTTTGCGTTTGCATATTACAAACGAAGTAAAAAGTTGAGGCCGTGATTGAGAACCGGTTGGGAGCGAAGGAGTTGAGAAATTGACAGTCATCATTCGGGCTACATAGTCTTACTGCGACGGTATTAATCGTCGTGTTTTTATCATCGGTCGTGCCGTTTTCTCTCGTCACCGTAGCCAGTTTTCATGAAAAAAACGAAGCAGTAGCGAGTAGTGAATGAAATACATGAAACTGTGTCGGGTGCGCAAACGATGGTGTGGCGTAAATGAAAAGAAAACATAAATAGTGTCGGAGAGAGGCGAGGACAAAGACTGAGAAAAACGGGAAACCAGACCAGAAGGGGGACACCAGACGGGGGGTATACCAGTAATGAGAAAAAGACACAACTACGGGCAACGTTTGTTCGTTCGTTATCGGTTTCGTCCTTTCTGATTAAAACGCGCAAGAACAATCATCACACGTGGGAGAGAGAAGATTGTGTTATCCGGCTAAAACTTGAAGCGACTTTTTTATAGATCTTTCGATTACCCAACTTGTGATTTCCGATATAGGGGAACCGTTCCTATAGAACCAATTGAACTTTGTGCAATAATGACTTCTTTCACTCAATCGCTTTATTAATATCGAATCTTTTTAGAGTAATATTCACGGATTTTTAAGGTAACTCCATTATCGAAGAAAAACTCGATATTTCTAATCTAATGATGAAAAATAAAATAGTTTACTCTGTGAACTTTGTATACTTTGTATCTTTCGTTGAAAATAAATTTCGTCGATAATAATTGTATTTCAAGGATTTGTACCTTATGTATGTATTTACGTATATATATATATATATATATATATATATATATATATATATATATATATATATATA